TACCATCTGTACTACTGTAGAATCTGTATGAACCACAGAGGAAGACGAAAGCAGGAGAAAATGGCAACAGTGAGCCCAGATAGAGTAACATATATAGCACTTCTCATGTTTGTTTGTTACATTTTTATCCCTGGGGTAGCAAATATTTCTTGGATTCCCAAAAGGAGTGTGATCACCATAAAATTCAAAAATACAAACAAGTGATATGCAAAATGTAACAACAACAACAACAAAAATAAACCACGAGTCCTAACACAGGGAGAAAAAAAAAAAGGAAATACAAGATGTAACAAATAAGTATTCAGCATGGATCATGAAGATCTTTTGCAAGCGTAAGTTCTAAATGCTTGGAAGAAGAGGAACACCTTGCCTGGTGCTCAAAAGTAAAAAAAAAACCCAAAAAACCCTGTTGGGGGTGAGTCTCTTTGGGGGAAGGCATTTTATAAATATGGGGCCACTGTTACAAGAGATCTTCCCTTTAAAGACCATGTGCCTTATCACTCCTGAAAGTGATACACCAGACATGCCTGTACGGGGAAAGGTCATGCATTCATATACCTTGGCCCCAGACCATTTAGGGCTTTAAATGTCAGAATCCATACTTTGAGCTGGGTCTCGAAATGGATTGGGAAAGAGTGCAGTTAATGAAATATTTACATTACATAATCATGTTCTATCTCCATTAGTAATTAGCGGATTTGTATTGTACTAACTGAGATTTCAGAATTATTTTCAGAAGCTACCCTATGTGCTTTATTTGCAGTAATTTTAGCTGCTATATCAGACTATATCTAGATAAAGGGTCTTCCTAGCCATAGAGGTTGTTTGTGCCTCTAATATCAGTGACAGTGATGGAGCCAGGGGGACACTCAAGCTCTATACCTGGTCTTTCATGTATTAAAAAATAATCTGAATGCTTATGATGGAGTGCTAGCAATGTTTCCATTTTATTTTGGGCTGCATTTCATAGCCCACATCCAACTCACTCTCCTGATGAGATAGCAATTTGGGATATCCGTTGTCTTGTCTGGATTGTATAATGTGTATTAATGACCCCTCAACTGCTATTTCCATATTATTTCTTTCATGGTTTTATGTTATTGTTAAAAAGCTTGGAGTATAGGGAAATAGAACACCAAAGAGCCCTGTACTATAATTGTTGCAGGGCAAAGCAATAGTTCCCATCACTCTTTTCTGAAAAGAGCTGTTAAGAATAGAATTATTGTAAAAAAATGCCCACAACTTGGACAGCCAAGCAAGAAAACCATCCCACTGGAAAATCAAAAAACAAAGAGGTTCAAAGTTTCAACACATTAGATGCCCCTCCCCAACCTGTCTCTCTCCCTGTCTCTCTCATGGTAGATCATACCTCAGCTTGACCAAGGCAACTTTGTCCTAAACCCAAGCTTTAAGATGGATTTAAATTAATCCCGAAAATCCATCATTCATCAGTTTCCATAATAAACTTACCTTGTACAATACCTCAGGATATTCTGAAATAGGGACATCAGAATCCCAGAACTAGGAACAAAATATCTTCTTCAAATGATATATTTATGAAATGAGGAGCCTAGTTCTTACAGTCAGTGGATAATGAGAACGTACTGGGAATGTTTAAAAGTTTGTAAGAATAGAATATCTTCAGGAGGCAGCAGCATTTGATTGACCTTAGCTGATCTCATAAAAGCTAAGCAGGATCTTAGATGGGAGGCCACAACAAAATCCCAAAACAGGACAGAGGAACCCTTGGTGAAGTAAAAGGAAAAAAGTTCTTATATCTCTGAATTATAGTTCATGTGAGAAGGCAAACTTACTGCATCTGCAAGATTCCATGAATTCTACCTTTGCTTGGTATAGCTGTGGAAGAAGAAGTAAATTGGGTTCTAGGAAGGATATGAAGAAAAAATTGACAGACAAGGACAAAGGAAGATTTGGATACATTTGATAGATGTAGGCATGCTTCCAAACAGCACAGCATGCTCTCTCTGAATCCCAAGTATAACAGCATTTAATTATATTGATTATATTTCTTCGTCTCTTTCATCTGATTTCCAATGAATGAATGTTTTATTGACTCTTTAGAATTTCTCTCTGTTCCATTCTGATACCTATGTTCATTCAGGGATAGGTCTTAGATCAAAACTGGGTTATAAAGAAAAAATAAATCAGGGTTTTAAAAGATATAAGTAAGAAAGAACAGGTCGCTTTGGAATTCACCCTGAAAGAGCTTCTATATGCCACATGCATTATATGTATTTATTTTTTATTTATTTATATTTCAAATTTATCACCGCCCATCTCACTCTGGAGTGACTCTGGGTGGTTTACAGTAAAAACAGAATAAACATTAATTAAAATAGATAAATAT